TTGTAGGATAGAGTAAATATTTTGATTAGAATTTTTCTATAGGATAGTTAATCTGATGATATGATGGATTAAAAATATAGGTTAAAACTCTTAGGGATATAATAAATATTATAGAATATTTTCTTGAGGTTGAAACTCATGTTTAAGAATTTTTGAGTTAAAATCTAGATCTATATGGTTGAATTTATGTGGAATCTGAGATGTAGGGATAAACCTCTGATTATTAAATATTTATTTAAGTATGAATAGGTATTTTTGAGGTTATAGAAAGGTGATTTGAGGCTTCAGGATAATTTTGAAATTTTTAATTTATTTTTGGACGAATTTTTAAAATATAGAAGGATGAAATTGTGATACTAGAAGTAATTTGAGGCTTAAAAATAGTTTATTAGGGTACGAGAATTTTAGAAAAGAATTTGGGAAGTTAAATGAGGCATAAATCTTAAATTAGTGTTAATATGGATTATAGATCTAAGACTTTCTAACTCTTTAAATTAGAGTTATGTATTTTAATGTAAAATTAATATATAGTATTATGAAATAACTATGTAAATTGTGTTGACAAAGATAGTGATGAAAGAGGAGTTGTGAAGGGAAACTTATTATTCAAGACACAAGGTAACCATTATTAATGTGTTGTGATGGGTGTGTTTGTGAATGGTTATGTGTTATTTTGTTGTTTGAAAAAATTATGAATTATTGAAAATAAATACTGTATATACTTGTTTGAAATTATTGTCAAGTGGGTTAAAAATTTATTTTTGTTTATCATGATGAGATATTATTGTTTGGATACATTCCTGTTTAGATATTTGAATGATGCATGACTTGTCAGGGTATTTAATGTATGGTATTAATGGGAATTTCTGTTCGGTTAATTATTACCACGTGATAAGCCCTCATTGGACCCAATGAGTGGCGTGTCGCTTGGTTCAACTCACTTTGGCTGGGTGATTTGGCGTCCGAGCATGGCGAAAGGAGGATATAAGGTGCAGTCATGCAATTAAATACTTATTCAGTTTGTTTAGAAATATTGTTCGATTAAATGTTTTTGTGTGCCCACTTAGCAATCACATGATTAGTTACATCCGCATGCATTATTACATATTAATTTTTGGTTACTGGGACTTTTAAGTCTCATTCCCCGTGGTTAATATTTTTACAGGAGAGAGTCCGGTCGAGAAAGCACCAGAGGTGTAACTTTAGTGTATGAGACACCATCTTTTACGTTGCCTCTCATTTTGTATTATGCAATGTATCTTGTGCCAACCTAGGACATTTTTATTTTGACAACATGTAAACTCTAATCCTTTTTATTAAATGCAATTATATAACCAAGAGGATTATGTTTGTCCCTCTTGATTCATGACCTGATTTAAATATCATGCCATGAGGATCCTGTATGTCTCTCATGGTTCTAATTGCTTTTTTTGAGATATTTTAAGACCTGTGGTATATTGTCTTAGATGTATCATGGTAGAAATTTTTCTACCATGATAAGGGTTCAATAAAAAAAATGATTTGTTGAATTAATAATTTGCGAAAAATCGGTTTGTAAATATGAGGGTGTTACATTGCATGACCTAAAACTAGCTCCAAGATGCTGGAAAATCATGCCCTAACAGAGCCACAATGAAGCTCTTTCTAATTTTCATCTCCATCTATTACATTTTAATATAGTACGTGAAAAAAGAACTATTATATTTGCTTCGTTCGCACATGATGAACAAACTTTTAGACAACCCTTCGCCTTTGTCGTTGTCTACAAGTAGTTGAGCCTTGTGTAATACTCCTCTATGTGTGAACAACACAAAATGGCCAAAGCCTACAATTTTGGGCGCAATACATATTTTGAACCCTAATTACTACTATTATATACTTCCAAGCCCAATTTAATCCATGATTAAATGCCTAAACATGTGATTAATTTCAAATACAAATTTGTTGCTTAATTAAAAAACAAAAAAAATATCAATCATAGTCTTAAATCCTCTATAAAACCTTAAGTTTCACAATTTATTTCTTAAATAAAAACTGAGATGCCACAAGCCGCTCAAATAAGACAAAAAAAATCCAAACCAAGCCTAAATTTAAATGGGCTAAGCCTAAGTACTCAAAATTTTTATTATTAATAAAATAAAATTAAAATTAGATAAAAATTGAAAATCTTAAATTTTTAAGATAAAAATTGAAATTGACTAAAAAATAAAAATAATATAATATAATATTTAACAACTCAAATATTCGAGTCATCCCAAACAAGCCCAAGTTATTTGGGTTAAGCTAGCCTATTTTGTAAAGTTAATGGACATTTTTGCACAATTGTTAATTTAAGGATACTAAAAGCTCCTAAAGAAGATGTTTTTGGATATTTTTGCATATTATGTTTGCTTCATTTTTTTAACAGTTAACATTAATAGAAATTAGTCAAATTTGATGAAATGGGGATTGTAGTACTCATTATAACAAGTTCATGAGTATTCTTGTATCTTAGTTCACTTAAGGATACATGGTGCTTATGGATAAAAAGTTACTACATATTTTTGCTCTTTAACGCATTGTTATATAATTTTGTCGATGATAAACTACCATAGGCTCTAAGAGTGGGGAAAAAAGAATTAGCTTAGGCGGTATAAAACATATAGGAGGAAATAATTAAAAAAATTGTTTCTTTCTTTTTCTGAGTACAAAGCCACAGATAAATTGTGTAAGGGAAAAAAAATCATGTCATATCATGGCACAAAAAATTTCTGCATCCTAAGGGCAGAATATGAAAAATCTTAATATCTAAATTATTATTGGAAGCTTGATACTCCAACACAATTAGTGCATCTATTAGTTTATCCACGCACATGAACAAAAGTGGTCGTGTAGTCTCTCATGATGAGTTCCCTGATTCTTTTGATAGTTTTCGCAAGAGGATGGTTCTCAAAGAACTCATGCTTAATGAGCGTAAGAGCTTTTAGAGAGTCTGGATAAATGTTGACTTTAGTGAATTTGTTATAACATATGTTTAGACCTTCAAAAATACTCATGAGTTCAACAATAGTATTAGGGAATGGCTAAGGAATTTCATGAATCCTTTTATCAATTTTTTTGATTGTCTCTAATGAATCCACCAAAAATAGCAGCAACATTATTGTTGACTGATCCATTAGTATCAAGTCTAATCCATCCTACTCGGGGGGTACCATCTAATTCCTAATCTAACACATTGAAAGAAATTGAGTCTTAATTGAAGGTTGAGAGTGTTGATAATATCTTAGATACTTAAGAAAGCAATATCTCTATTAGGGATGTCTTCTTTAGAATAGATTTTTTTCATCTTTTTTTTATATGTTTTGGTAGACATGCGCAAAGAGTTTTTGCCAAAAGGTTATGTACTCAGACCTCCCGTATCATTCTTTACATTCAATAATATCTAATCTTGTAATGAAAGAGAAGAAAATGTTTAGTTTTGAATACTCAAGCACTTTCATTCAAACCTTTCTAAATCCCTTGCAATCGTGTAAAATATGAATAGAGGAGTCTTAAGAGTAACAACCACAGGGGGCAAGTCTTCTAGTGGGATTGGTATCATCAGAATGGGATTGTAGCATCGACGACGGCCAAGACTGGAGACCAACTTTCATTGGGACTTGATCGACGGCAATGATGAGAATTGAAAGGCTGACTTCCACTGAGACTAGACCAATGGTGATGACAGGGACCAATAGGCTGATTTCCATAGTGACTGGATCGACGACGACTATTAGGATTAGACAATTGACTTCCATAGGGGACTAAATCAATGGCGATTGGACGATCAATCTATCGGGATTAGACTAACAACGTCCAATGGGACCAAAATCAAGATTGATGACTAACAATATCTAATAGGACCAGACCGACAACAACAACCAAGATAGGACGATTGACTTCCACCAAAATTCGATGACAGACTTTCATCGAAACTGGACTAAGTAGAAGTCGGCAATTTGGTCTTCATCGTCACCATCGGTCTAGTCTCGGTGGAAGTTGGCCGTTTAGTCACAATGGTCATCGTCAGTTTGGTCTCTATGGAAATCAGTCGACTAGTCCCCATCATCATAGGTCTAATCCTAGTAAAAGTTAGTCATTTGGTCCTCATCATCATCGTCGATCTAGTCCTGGTGGAAGTTGATTGTTTAGTCTCTATCATCATCGACTATTCGATCTTGATAGAAGTCGGACATTCGGTCTTGGTGATTGCCGTCAATTTAGTCCCTGTGGAAATCAACCGGTTGGTCCCCATCATCGTCATCAGTCCGATCTCAATGGAAGTCAGTCATTTGATCCCCATTGGTCTAATCCTGGTGGAAGTTAACCTTTCGATCCCTATCATTGCCATTAGTCCAGTCCTGCTTGAAGTTGAACGGTCGGTCCTCGTCGTCATCGTCAGTCCAATCTCGGTAGAAGTTAGCAGTCCCATCTCGATCATCACCGTCAGCCCGGTGAGGGTGGAAGTTGTCTAGCTGGTCCTCATCATCACCATCGATTCGGTCCTGATAGAAGTTAGCTGTCCCGTCCTGATTTTTGCCGTCGGTCTAATCTCGACAAAAGTTTACTGTCTAGTCGCGATCAATGGTGGCCACTTGTTTCCATAAACTTTGGCAGTCTGATCTAATTACCGTTAGTAGGTCGATTAAGCTTTTATGGATTTGGGTTAAATTACAAAAAAAAATTAAATTAGGATTTGAAATAATAAGAGTTTGCAAAAGAATTTTAAATTACAAAAAAATTGAGATAGAATTTAGATTTGAGTTTAACTCAAACTCAAATCCATTTATTTTTAATTATTCAAATAATAATTTTAGTTCAAGTTTAAATTTAAATCAAAATTAATATGTATCGAAATATAACATAAATTTTTATGAAACTTTAATTTTTAATATTTTTTCCGTTCTCAAAATCCAATTTGGATTTTAGGGATTCTATATATTGGCAGAAACCGTCGGCACTCAATACAAGTGTCTGTTCCAGCCTTCGCTCTCGCTCCCCGACTAATTCTCATATTCTCAATCTCAACGGCTTCGCTTTCTTTCTTGTCAGCCACCGGCAGACTCATTTACTATTTTTTCTTTCTTGTTGATTCGTACTTTTTGGTACCTTCGTGGTAAATTTTCTTGGCAGACTACATTCAAATCCTGTACGCTCAATTTCGACTCTTTCTGAGGTTTCTGGAGTTGGACTATTTCGAAGGGAAATGGATTTTGGTGAGAAAATCGTGTTGGGTTTGGTTTGAGAATGAATTATTGTTATGATATGGACGGTGGAGTTCTAGATTTAGATTCTCTGCCACCAAATATTGTCATCGGATGCCGACGCCTATTGCGATCGGCATTCGATTCGTTTAGCTTCAACACCGCATCCCAAGCTTTCTCTGAGAGTGATTGTTCTTTCATTCCGACTGGGTTTGATAATCAGCGTGGGCTTTGACCCCAAGCGTTATTGAGTTACATCTAACAAAAGAGAAATCATTGGCTTTTTTGTTTAGTCGTTGGATTTTCAGCACGGAATGAATCCGGATGCTGCAGACAATGGACATAGGGCAAGGAAGCCTCCCGAGTACGAGGAAGATTTTGTAGAGAAAGATCCTACTGGCCGCTATATTCGGGTAATGTTTTATGAAAATGGAGTTTTTTTTTTTTAATGTTTTATTTACGGTTTTTCTGTCTTCCATTATCTTCTGAGTCTGGTGGTACTGGATATTGATTTATTATGGATTGGATGGTATTATGGGTGGGTGATATCGTGTGTGGGACTTTATAACCTTTTAGTTTAAAGATGAACACTCAGCAATCTGAACAAGAGAGCAGACACATTGTTAAATCTCACATTGTTCACTATTAGGACCAGTTGAGATTCTTATTTTATCAATAACATAAAGAATCTGAGTGAGAACCTCACAGTAAATATACTGGTAAAAACCACTGACCTCGTTGGAGCCAGAGCCTTGTCCATTCTTATTTTACCCCTGTGCAATGCAACTATTGATTCTAATGCAAGGAAGATAAGTTGGACTGTGATCAATTCTCCTGGTTCTGGTAAGTGTAGATACTGCAGTAAAACATCTCATATCCGTTGTTCTGAATTGGGTCAACTAAATGGAGCTTGAAATGCTCCTTTGTGATTTCGGATTTATATCAACTTTGGGATTTGCCTTCTTGGTATTTACTACACGAATGTAGATAATGTTCGGTGGAAAGCTTCAAAGACCTTTTGCTAAAGCATAACCAGGGACAGAGAATCTGCTCAGCTCTTCTTAGCAGATTTCTTAACATCTATAATTCATGTTTTCCTAAGTTTATTTTAATTTTGTCCTCTTTGTTTTTTCCACAGTACAATGAAATCTTGGGCAAGGGTGCCTTCAAGACTGTGTATGATTCTGATACTTATCTCTTATTTTATTCCATTTTCTGCTGAATGTCTATGTTAATCATATCTGTTCTTAGTTTTATGATTCTGTTTATAATTTTAGTTGCATTCCAACTAATGTATATGAAAAGAATATGCTATACTCTTTTGCAGCAGAATACTCAAACTCATTATCTTAAATTTCGGCAGTTATAGGGGATTTGATGAAGTTAATGGGATAGAAGTTGCTTGGAACCGAATTAGGATTGATGATCTCCAGCAGTCGGCAGAAGATTTATCAAAATTATATTCTGAAGTTCATCTTTTGAAGTCTTTAAAGCATGAAAATATCATTAAGTTCTATAATTCCTGGATTGATGACAAGAAGAAAACTGTTAACATGATTACTGAGCTCTTCACCTCTGGAAATTTGAGGCAGTATGTCTTCTTGATGGATTTTAATCTTTGTTTTATGTTGTTTGATTGTAATATGAGATTCAAACTATTATTTTTCTTTGGCTTACAGATACCGTGTGAGGCATAGATCTGTTGACATGAAAGCTATAAAGAATTGGGCTAGACAGATTCTTCGAGGCTTAGCATATCTACATGGTCACAAGCCTCCTATTATTCACAGAGACTTGAAATGTGACAACATCTTTGTGAATGGAAACCAAGGAGAGGTTAAAATAGGAGACCTTGGCCTGGCAATTATCTTGAAGCAGTCAACAGCTCGCAGTGTCATTGGTAACATGTTACTTTCCTTGTTTAGTTTTCAGCATATTGACCCAGTGTGAAGTACTGAACTCTGCCTTTACTTGCTGACTTTTCTTGTAAATTATAAGGCACTCCCGAGTTTATGGCTCCAGAGCTATATGAAGAAGAGTACAATGAACTTGTTGACATCTATTCTTTTGGGATGTGCATGTTAGAGATGGTTAATTTAGAGTATCCCTATATTGAGTGTAAAAATCCAGCTCAGATCTTTAAAAAAGTTACTTCTGTAAGTAGCAATCATTAGCATATTCAATACTATTAATGGCATGCTTATAGTTGTAATTATTGCACTGATATCTTGTGTATATTCTTTTAAGGGCATCAAGCCTGCTTCGCTTAGTAAAGTGAAGGACTCTCAAATTAAGGAGTTCATTGAAAAATGCATTGTTTCAGCCTCTCAGAGATTGTCTGCAGAGGAGCTCCTCAAAGATCCATTTCTCCAAGTTGAGAGTCCAAGGGGACCAATCCGGGATCCTCTGCATTTACCTTGTCAAAACCCAAAAGCTATGGATATGTCTAATTCTGATCCTCTCTCTATGGACATAGATGTTGAATACAAACAGACTTTCAAGAGTATAAACACAGATAGTAACTCTGGAAGTCCTCGTAGTCCCGTTCTAGAATTTCAGAGGACATATAAGAACAATGAATTTAGGTTAAAAGGGACCAAAAATGATGATACCTCAATATCATTGACATTGCGTATTGCTGATTCAGATGGTGAGAATATGCTCTTTTCTTCACCTCCCATTTTTCTGGCATGCTTTTATGTACCTTGACAGTGTGGCGATGCTAGATTTTAATTTAGTTAGATCTTAACACGTTTTATTGATTTCAGGTCAGGTGAGGAATATACATTTTCTCTTTTACCTTGATTCAGATACTGCGCTCTCCGTTGCCTCAGAGATGGTTGAGCAACTAGAGCTGGCAAATCATGATGTTGTCTTCATAGCTGAGCTTATTGATTATTTGATTATGAGACTTATGCCAGGGTGGAAGCCCTCTTCTGATTATTCCTCAAGTGGAGGAGTAAGTCTCAGCGGGGGTTCTCCGATACTTAGGGATGGACAAACTATAACAGCATGCCCATGGGATTCTATTCCAGATAGTGTTCCCTCTGGATGGCGTAATGATCAAAAGACTTTGTATGACAATGTTGATAATGCCAATTTTCAGACTTATTTTTCATCTTCTCTTGGTTTGACTAACTTGGAAGATCAACAATCACTGGGAACTGCAACTTCCGAGATAGCTGTGGAAAGCACGTCTGTGCAAAGCTTATGTCTATCCACCTCAAAGTTGGAGCCAGGACATACACATTTCGAGCACAGTACCAATGTTGAAGAGGACATAGTGATGAATAAATTCAGAGAGAACTCAAAGCCAGCAACTCCAGTGTTTAGCCCGGCGTCTAATATTTTGAGCTTGACAAGTAACTGTTCTCTTCTATCCTTGGCAGAAAAAGATACTGATGTTGAGCTAAAGCTGGAACTTGATGCAATTGAGGCACAGTATCAGCAATGGTTTGAGGAGCTTTCTAGGATGAAATTGGAAGCATTAGAAGCCACCAGGAAGAGATGGTCTAACAAGAAAAAGTTGGCCGCTCACTGATTCTTGATCTTCTAGAAAGAAATTTATAGTTTAAAGTTGTATTTCGTTTCAAACTTTTTATGGTGTATGTGTTGGATGAGGCTCTTTTTTTTGGAAGCCTGTTCCTCACTAAGCCCATTTCCAATGTTTTGAAAATCTGAAATGCAAGTTTTTTTTTTTTTTCAAAAGCAAAAATTGTAGCTTTTCCCATTTCACTTCTTGTAGAATTATTTTCTTGTTTTGAATGAATTTTGTTCTTATTTTTGTAGGTGAAATCAAAATATCAATATCAATATAAATTAAAAATTAAAAATAATTCATGTATACTATTTTTTTAATCTGAAATTCATGTATATTATTCATAACTTAAAACAAGAGTGAGATTCTACATGCCATCGTGTCGTTGATCAGTCAAGTGGAAGAAATGTGATTTTCTTGTACAGGTTTATGGAGTTAAATCTTATACATGAATTATATTACAAACTACTCCCAAGTAAGCTTGAAGATACTGTAATGCTCTATGATATAATAATATTGGATGTTAGATGATTGTATCAAAAAAGTGAGTTCCCTATTATTTACTTCCTATGTTCAAAATTATAAACTATTTTTGGAGATATCTCATTTAAAAATACAAGACATTTTAATGTTTTCTAGGAGTATTTAATGAGTTTTTTTTTAATCCCTTAATGAATATTCAAAATCAATGACAATTTTATATTTATTTGTGATTAAATTACACAATTAAACAAGGTTATACATGAAAAAAGTAAGTAGTTTATAATGATGTCGGTTATTTTCTTAGGACAAATTTTTATTTAAAAATGCCTTAAAATTTTGAATGAGTGAAATAATTCACTAAAAAAAAAAGATTCATGGTGAATGATTATAGAGAATCTATTGTATTTGCGAACTTTGTAAATATGTTTTAAGAGTGTTGGAGCAAATGCCTGGATATTGCTAAAAAATAAATTCACAAGGTTTAATCCTAGTGACTAGTGACACGTTCATTGACTGAAAAGAATCCGAGAGATCCATTCTTATAGGTATAATTTGGACAAATTGTGAAATTTTGGAAGTTTAGCGAGGGAATGTTACTTGATTTACAACTTAAAAAGTTTGCTGGTTCTTTCTTTTGGCCGGAAATTAAAATTTGTTGGTTTATTCATTGAACGACTTCATGTTCATGGACTGAGAGCAAAAAAAAAAAAAAAAAATTGTCCATGGATTAATAGTAGGATTATTGTCTCACCAAATAAAGACGATTCATGTATATAAGTGAAATGAGATGCATCTAAATAATTACTCCAATAAAGAAAAAGACTAATAATGTGATAACAAATGTTAATTAGGTCTTCTCCTTTTCTGAACCGGGAGGGAAAAAAATAATAATAATGTGCACCCACGTGCCAATGCACCCTTTTTTATTTTTTTTGTGAGCACATTTCTACATTTGATGAACAAATCAATGAGCATAATCTCTTACGTACAATGAACAAGATATAAATAATAGGCTCTCTTATTATTATTATTATTGACTGATTGGCTCTCTCCTAAAGAGATATTTATAATTTATTAATATTAATTGAGTCAACTATTAATTTTTTTCCGGAAAGTCCTATGTTTCAATATTAAAAAAATTATAGAATTACAAAAGTAATTAATATCTTTTTTACTTAAAATTTTAAGAGGAGTATATCAAAATAACTTACTGACTATTAAAAAAATAATTAATGATTACTATTTTTTAATATTTCTTACATATTGAAATATAATTTTTTAAAAAAACAGTATATTTCAAACGGGAGCAGTATTATCATTTTATCTATCTCCAAATCAGTTGCAAAAAATAATCTGCAATATTTTTATTTCTTACAAAATGATGTCACTAGTAGTTTAACATTTTATAAGGATGGAATTAAAATATACTTCTTCAGTTAAAAAATATAAAACTTCTTTAAGAAGTTAGATATTAAAAAATATAAAATATTTTTAGTTTTTTAAGATGTAATCATTATCCTTTTTTTAAAAGTTCCCTATTGATAATGACTTTATATTTATTGTAGAGTGTTTAATAGAGATAAATATCAAAAGATGATGTTAGTTAAAAAGTAAGTAACTACTTTATTAAAAAATAATATTTAATTAAAAATGTCTTACATTTTTTAATGGAGGGAATATATATATACGTGTGTGTGCGTGTGTTTTCAAATATTAATGCTTTATCCTAAACAAGTGTCAAATAATCACAACCACCTCTTTCAAAAATGGAAGGGTAAAAAATGGAAGGACTTGATGATGATTTAATTTTGTGACACAAGCCATCATCTAAAGCAGGTGTTAAATATGTAAAATGATTTTTTTTTTGGAAGAATCTCATCCATTGCCCCCTCAAATAACAAAATTATAGATGAGGCCAAATGCAAAATGAATATTCTTTATAGGCTGGAAGAGCTGAAATGAAAATTATTTTAAAATTCAAATAATGAAAGTACCTTAATGAGTGAAATAAAAAATAATAAAGTTAAAATGAATATTAACAAGTAAAAATATTTGTATGCTTAGTATACTAATATCTAATTAAATCATGACTAATGGATCTTAATGTGTTAATAAAATTAAGGAAAAAACTTATATAATTAACCTTATATATTTAATATGTTTATTTTTAATTAAATCAAGATATGTGGATATTTTATATATTATTTATTTTATAATAAATTCTTGATATTAATTTTATTATCATATTAAGATCTACTTATTATGATTTGATTGGATATAAGTATCTTAAGCATATAAAAGTAAATACATAAGCCTTACCTTAAAATTAATAACAATAATTTATTATAAAATATATAATTCATAAAAGACACAAATGTCTTAATTTAATTGAAAACAAGGATATTAAAAGATAAAGTATATAAATTTTTTTCTATTTAAATATTATGAATAAAATTTTAATTATTGATAAATAAATGTTTGTGAAGTAAATACAACGCTTGATCAAGTACACGTGATAACCATATTTTTACTTGGTCAGCTTGTCAATTCATGGACCTTTTAGTTGATTTTTTTGTTTGGATAACTTGGATAAAAAAATTCAACACATGTGAGAAGAAGAGATTTACTTATCAAAATCTGAACAATTATTTATTAATATATAAAATTTTACTTGTCAAACTATGAACATTTATTTATTGAGTAATATTTGAACATTTACTTGTTAACATCTAAACCTTCACTTGTAAATATATAAATGGTTACTTATTAAAATTTAAACTTTTATTTTTCAATTATTGAATTTTTACTTGTTAATGTGTAAATTTTTACTTGTCAATATCTATGCTAATGTTGTATTTGCTTCCAACTGATTAAGGAAACTTTCATCATTTGAAGTTTGAAATTGTTTTCGGTTCAATCCTTCCTTCTAGTCTGTAGCGAATATTCAAATTACATTGGGCCTTATCTATAATTTTATTGCTTAAGGTTGCTTAGATGTGATTATCCATTTCTTTTGTCTGGAGGGAGCATCTTATTGATTACCTAGTGCTACAAAAAGAAGACACGTGAGTGGATGTAAAAGGTACAAAATGACAAAGTTGGATCTGCTCAAAAGAATATTGATAAAAAATGTGCAGATTCATTGTGCCCCGAGGGTCTGAAAAAATTGCGGACACGTTTAATTAATTCAGCTTGGAGTACTTATTTGATGCATAATTGAATGAATAATACATGTTCTTTATGTATAATTTAATTAGTCTAAATGGACCGTTAAAATTCTCAACCAGCATCAAGCCATAATGTTTGAAAATCAATCTTGTTCACCGCTTTCACATAGTCAGTAGCAATAATCAGATGTTATGAGACTCTCTGTCTGGATGATGATGAATTGAAAATCTGAGACTTGTGTAAAGATTATTATTCCTCACAAGTTGGATATTGTGATTGAATAACAAAAACTAGACATATTAAAAATGTTGAGACTCAAAGATATAAAAATAATTCTCAAGCTCTGTTATCTCAGTTCACATAGATGTAAAGATGCTAAAAGAATGATGTAAAAAAAAAGTATTCTTGATTATTGGAAAAATAAGGTATGAGATCGCAGTGATTATAATTTATGAATTGAAAATAAATTCAAGTCTAAGTATGAAATATATGGTAATTTAGTATAAGCTTTGATGGTGATGATGGTGATGCCTTTTGCGATGATTGCAATTCCCTTTTTATAATTGTTCGCTTAAGATTGTTGTGCTTAAAGAATCTGGAATCTGTGTGTAAAATATACGTGATCACTCAACACAGCCCCGCAATAGTCGTGGCACTTCCAATGACATTCTTGTATTCATTCAATGATCTCTCATATTCAGTTGCTTTGAGTTTTAAGGGTTATACTGAGAATGTGTATGGCATGACCCATTTTGATAATGTACCGAGCCTTGTTACTTGAGTCCATCATTTTAGTTTTTATTTCCCTCTGCGATTTTGGGCTGACACATCATTTTAAGCCTAAACAATTATGTTGCTACTTGACAGATGAGTACAGGCTGGGCCTTTATGATGAAATCCAGGAAAGGTACTAAACAAAATCTTGTAACTTGCAATGTGGTGTGATTCTGCTTGCCATGTTCTATTTTACCTGATTCGTTCTAATTAAATAATGTCAGTTATTAGTTGTCAGCATTCTGGGTCTGATGAAAAACACTCTCCTGTTCCTTACTTATAGGACATCTCAGGCAGTACTTGATTTAGTTACTCGATAATCAATTAATAAGAAAACCTGTTAAGCATGATTACTATGGCAAGAAGCTGACTTGGGATTGTTCTACTTCTACATACGTATTTCCAGATCGACAATTTATCAGACATCATTGTCATGGCAAGAATCAGATGTAGAATTTTTAACAGTCAAAAAGCTGACATGAAATAAAAAATTGAAATTGGACCCGTGACAATTCCGCGATTGTGATTTCCTCCCAAAACTTTGGCTCCGATTTGAAGGGAGGGTCAAATATTCAATTATAGCCATCCCTCTCCGACCTTTTATTGGGTTTAGCTATAATGATGATGATGATGATGATGATTAGTATGGTGGTAATGATTGCAAGAAGGACTTGTCTTATAGTGGCAGGACTTTGCGGTGGATGATTTTCCCGTCCATTTGGACTTTGTCAGCTATTAACGGGACGTTATTACTTATCAGAAGGAAGTGATGCACAAGATGACGTCAACATTAGGAATTTCAAATTTTAAAAACGTAAAATTTCACCCAAAAAAGAACTCGAAATTTTACGCATTAATTACAAGTAATTAGTAATTTTAAAACTAGCAGAAAAAATGTTGGTGAGCAGTAATCCGTATTAGATTTGTAAACATGGCACATCAAGATCAGCAAGTAAATGTATAATAAATTTTGGAAGATACCCTCATCCACTGGTGAATTTTACATTATTAATATTGTTATTTGTTGATTTATTTGGCTGCATCATCTTGCTATTCATTAAAACCAGTAATTCAATCAAACTCGATAGACTAACCCAAACCTACTTAAAAAAAATCAAATTAATTATATAAATTTTTTAAAAAATAAAATATTTTAAAATTAATTTAAATAAACTAATTTAAATTGAATTTGGCCCGTTTAAATTATCGGGTCTATCATGCATGGGGGAGGAAAGAGAGCAGAACCATACGGATTGCTAGCCTGCTCTTAAGAACTCAGTCTAATGCAGGAGACATGATCTAATGTGTTTTTTTTTTAAATATATTTTCTTTGTCCGTGATCTTTTTTATTTTTTAGATAGATGTGAAAACGATCTGCAAGTGGCTCTTGGAATAATGGAGGAAGAAAAAAGATGTGAAAAGATCCGAATCTTGTAATGAGAGAAAAATGATTCACCTTCCACTGCAAAATATGTAATACTTTTGTATGAATTAAAAAAATAGTTTAAAATAGATTATATTATTAGAATAATAAAAATATCGATACTTCTTAAGATTGCCCTTCAATCACAATCAGTTTAGCTTAAGTATATTTAATTTTTTATATAATTTATCTTTACAATAAAAACTAATAAGGATATTTATGAAAAACTAATTTAATATTATTGACTCCTTGCAAAGTATATCATATTTTGTACCAGCACTAAAACATGGAAAGTATCCTATATTTTAAACTATAATGAGCTAGAAAGGAAAAGGTGAGCTAAGGAGGAAGTGTGATTGAATATGATATATCTTAGTGCTTGTTTAGTTTACCGTTTGGAAGATTAAAACATTGGTTAGCAGTGCAAAAGCCAGTTGGAGACTTGTTTTTCTGGTTTGGAAAAAAGTAAGCTCAAATGGCTTTTGGTCCCAAAATCATAATCAAGTCTGGAGTTATTTTGTCTTGCTTTTGATTTCAAACTAAACTTTTATTCGCTGCTTTCTTGCAAAACTGGCTTTTAAAGAAAAAGTGCTCGCATATGAATTACATTATAATAACTGAAGTTCATGTATAAAAAAATAAAAGTAAATTCCACTAATTTTGATAGAATTGTATTCTTTAAATAAGTAAAATCTATTGTATTAAACATTGTTTTATAAATCAAACCAAACTGCAAACTGAATAGATTAGTAGTTTGTAGTTCATAGTCTAACTGGTTAAACCGATGTCAAACCGATAACGCAATAATTAAATAAAAAATAATATTATACAAATATATAACAATATAAATATAAAAAATAAATATAAAATTGTTTAAAAATGTGCAAAAAAGAATTAGCACCTGCCATATGAATTACCAAAAAAATATATTGATTGAGGATTTTGCAATTTTGTGTTTAGATTCAACCCACTGAGCATTATCATTTAATTTTAGAATTTGGATTCATTTGTTTCTTAAAAAAAAAAAATCAACCCAATTCAATCCGATTGGTCTTGATTCTTTACCCATTTCAACTTAACTCAACTCTCTAAATAGTTTTTTACCAGGCCATTATACTATATAGCTGATAGTCTAACCAAACTTATCATCAGATTTAATTTTTAAAACATTATTGTTAAACAATCTATTTTTTTTAAGTTTACTTTCGCTTCTCCAATCTTAATTCCATTTCCATGCTACCAAATAAAAACATTAATGTTTGAAAAGGATGGAGGAAGGGAGAGTGGCAATAGGGCATAAAATTGGAGGCGAGAGAAGACAAGAAATAGAATAATGTATGAGATGATCCATTGATGGGGACTTAGGGACCAAGACAGAATTTTATAACAAGAGGAAGGTTCCCGGGTGGAGAGCCAAATTATTTGACAGAATATTCCTTTCCCATCTTCCCCCACCACCAAACGCACCTTCCTAGAAACCCCCCTCCATTCCCATCTATATCCAATCTCCATTCCCCCTCAATACTTCAATATATCTCCACAGCAACAATAATACCTCACCAATTATACCATTCACTCTTTCACTCCTCACCTTGTCGACTGAACGTTTTTACAAACTCAAAACATTTTATTAATTCATTCTTTTCTCCAAAGATAATTGGAACATTTGCCTAAAAAATCCCTCCTTTTTTTTTTTGGTATAAATGGCCATGGAAAAAAAAATCATAAAGAAAAGCAACAAATTAAAACATCTTTGAGTATTTTCTTTGATTTTCTTTTATTCCTCTTCATAGGACTCAGATTATCTATTTTACTTTGCTTGTTAAGGCATCTCACAGTTTTCTTTTACCTATCTCAAATGATTTTTTACCATATTTCCTTCAATATATATCACACCTATTTTTTGTCTGTATATGTTCCTTATACGTATTGTCTTTTCTTTAACATCCACTTTTATAATATTTTTATTGATTTCTATAATAAAATGCAACAAACATTTTCTTAATCCATTCTTTTTGCAGAGCTACTTGAAACATTTGCATAAGAATTCCCCTTTTTTTTAATACAAGGCTAGGAAAGAATTCGTGCCTAAAAGCAAGAAACCAAGGCATCTGAAAGAGCAAAATTTTCTACACCTTATAGCAAGGGTGTCGAGGACATCTTGACATTGCTATCAACGTGGTTGCCGAACAGCCTGTCTGGATTCAGCCAAAAATCGCTTATTGAGCTGAAATAATCAATTTTTGTAAAATTTATCCAAACAGCCACCACAATTAATAATTAATTATTAAGTTAGAATTATATTTTGAAATAAATTTTGAAAAGTTGCTTATAGATTTAAATCTATTGTTAAATAATATATTTTACTTCTTAAATAAAATTTAATAAATTTAATAATATTAAATACAATTTTATCAAAAATTTAATTTAATTTTGTAAAGCTAAAATTAATTTTAATATCCAAACAAATTGAATTATAACACAATCAATTATAATAAAATTAATTATATTAATTATAATTAATTAAATTCAACTGAAATCCACAAACGGACATGAAAATCCCGCTGGATAAGCTGAAAGTCCCTCTGAAGACCGTATACTTTGTCATGGATTTTATAAACTTTATACGGATTATATCGACTAATTGATTAATTGATGTTCTTCGGCAATGTGTTCGCAGCCAAAATGATCGATAAACAGGTAGGGCCCGTGAAGAATATGAATCTCCGAGACAGACGGTAGAGATGAGAAAAACGAGCTTGTGAATTGGACAAGGCGCAGGGTACGAAAACGCTACCATTATCATCTCTTCCAAAAGCCATCGAAGACGAACCTTTGACGTTTCTATTATAAACTCCATCTTCCTTCCTCACTAATTCCGCGTTCGCTCCTTTCCACAACACCACTCTTCTTTTTCTTCTTCTTCAATAATGGCAAGCAGAGAAGCTGCAAAGAATCACCTGTCCTCCGGGGACTCCGAATTCGAGGACTTGCTTCCAGTTATGGCGGAGAAGCTGGACGTGGAGGCCTTTGTTTCAGAACTGTGTGCAGGGTTCAAGCTTCTATCGGACCCAGAAACGGGTCTGATCACCGGCGAGAGTCTGAGGAGGAACTCTGCACTTCTGGGGATGGAAGGGATGAACAGGGAAGAAGCGGAGGAGATGATAAGGCAAGGAGATCTTGACGGAGATGGGAAGCTTAATCAAACTGAGTTTTGTATTCTGATGGTGAGGCTTAGCCCTGGGATGATGCAGGATGCTGAAGCTTGGCTTGAAAAAGCACTTGACCAAGAACTCGCCAAGTCTCAATCTTAAGTTAAGACGCTCTTTTGTCAATCAATTGTAAGTCTTGTAATATGATCATTCCAACTTTAAACCTTGATGATGAAGATGAAACAGTCCTCCGTTTTATTAAATTTTATTTCATTTGAATTCCCTCCTTTCGTAAGTTAACATTTTTCTGTAAAATGTTCCTCCAAAACAACCTAACTCATGTCAGATATTCCTTGCTAATACCCTTATATGGTGATCACTTTGGTGAGCTTAATTTGGTACGTGTGGTAAGGAGTCGGGGCTGTTCGTATTTCTGTTTCAGAGGCTTTAAACTTAAGCTTTCTGCTATATTTACTATTAAAAAAAAAATTATGATTTTGCTGTTCCAAAGGATCAGAATTCAGAACACTTATGCAATTTTCTTACTATTCGTTCGATGAATTGTCCAATTTCTGCTATGCACGGGCTGGCAACGGTTAAAAACTTCGTTGTTAAAGGTTTTCGTTGTATGGCTGAGGAAGTTATAGTTAAATTACATTCATCGAGAAGGTCTTATTCTTGACCACGATTTTCATTAAATGCAACATTGCGTTCTAGTTTAAATGCAAATATGAGAACAAAGTTTGCTCAGTTAACCTTTACTGTAGCTATAATTAGAACAGCTGTAATTAAATATTGTGTAGGTTTTGGCTTGGTTCTAAAGATCAGAAAACTCATGTTAATCAATTAAGAAAATTGTACTAAAAAATAAGACACTGCTATCTACAGAGACCAAATAAGATTTTAAATTTTTTATTGCCCTATAAAATGAGACTCAGCATTTACTACTATTCACCCAAACATTCCCTCCACAGGTGCCTGGGGCTCCAGTTTTCACAATGAAGATTTATTTTTTTATAACAAAACAGCAAGCTCAGCTTAACTGCTGGGCAAATTATTCAAATCAACTAAAAAATACCTTGTCAACTCAAAGGATGAGTTCAGAATTCCAAACAAGCCAGGCCATCCTCGGAGAGCTTCCTTTGCAAGATAATCTGCAACCGAATTGCCTTCTCGATTAATATGGCATATGTTCACTTCCCAATCGCGTCCCAACATGCATTTGATCTCCTCTATCAGGGAATATTCATGGTGTTGTTGGATAACTTCACCTTCCACAGCATTCAAAGCCTCCAACAAGTCCCATTCCACAATTATTCTCCTCTTTCCTGAATCCCATACAGCTTTAAGACCAACTAGAATCGCCCATAGCTCCGCCGTCAAGCTGCCTCCTTCCACATGGCCATGCATGAAACCTTCTATCAGTCGTCCACTACTGTCTCGTATTACACCTCCACAGCCATCTCCGTTGAGTCTTGGCGAGAAGGCCCCATCAACGTTCACAATGAAGATTTTGGCACCATCTTACGTCATTTCCAATTTTTATGAGGAAGTCAATCAGAATTTGCTTCGGTTAGTTCATAATGTTTAATTGGCTGTGATTCAAATTCATCCTTTGAATCCTATCCGGTTCTCAAGCTTGCTGACAGAAGAATTGAACCCCAAACCAGAACAATAGACACCCTTCCAATCCTTAAGAAAAAACAGTCAAGTCCACTTACCATGAGATAACTTTTAAGACTGATCTCGGAGATGGCTCCGTCTGTTTTGATAATCATTAAATAAATAAAAAAAAGGGAAGCACCAAGGAGTAAATGATAGAAAGTTGAAGTCAGAGCACTATAGTTTCTTTCTTTTAGACAAGTAACTAGACAACACAATAATGTACAAGCTATTTAGGGCGTTCCATATAAGCCCCAAGCAAATCCCTACTCCATCAGTTCATGGTGCTGCTACTCCCAAAGGCCAACGGCTCAAATAGGATGAAAAGTTCACCATATTTAGTACAGGGTCGATATCTGTATGTGTGTGTGTGATTTTTTACATGAAAAGGCGCAACATCATTAGAAAGTTTACCAGATTCAGAAGCATCAGTTTTCTTTAGAAATAAGAAGACTGATAATGGAGCACATTTAAATGTGCCAATACTCTAGCTGCCAGAGATCTCACACGATCAGTACCTCGTTGAGTTAAATCAACCAGAGGCATATGAGCTGAGGCTCCATACAATTGTTTGAACTCCCATAGCCGAAAAATCCTTTCCAAAGCATGTAGAGATTTCTCCTGTAGTCCAGGGGATGGAGAATTTAGACATTTTATTATTACTGGTATGGCATTTGCTACTGCGAGCACTTTACTACCATTTTGTAGTCTTTCCCCTTCAACTAATGTCAATAGAGCATCTAAAGAAGCCTCAGAAACTCCTGGATCAGATTCTCCGAGTGTCCTCACTAATGGCCTCACTGCATCAGCCTCAACAAGGCAAAATGATGACTTGACAGTACACATTCCTCCATGAACCAAGCAGCTGATTCGTGTTGGAGCTGAGAAGCACCAAAGGCCCTTGGGCTTGGATACTGGCCTGCTCAGCTCAAGTGAGCTCTTTGAAAATTGAGCTAGAGATGATGCCGCTTGTTGTTTTGTTGAAGTGGTTCCACATTCAAGCAACTGCACTAGAACAGATATGACACCAATTTCAGCAGCACTCTTTTGCCATTCTAGGTTTGTTGAAACAGTGAAATGACTCAAGGCACCAATGGCATTCTCTAGTAACTTGCTCTTTTGGCAATCTTTGTCCTTCCGATCTTGGAGATGATTATTTATGATTGGAAGTGCACCAGCATCCAGAAGCCACTGCGTGATCTGGTGAACTTTTGGAAGATAGCGTACTATGCCCAGAGCAGAAGAAATTTCCTCTTCATCTGAAGAAGTTCTCAGGATCTGGAGCATAGCTTCAACGCATTTCTGATTTACGTTTTCCAGGATCCTGGCTTCATCGCATACTAAGCAAGCAAACAGCTTTACAGCACTCGCCCGTAGGTTTAGATTTTCCTGCTCACAAAGCTGGACCAAAACTTCAAAAACTGAACCCTGCACACGAGTTAAATAATTTTAAAAAACTTAGATACAAATGAAATGATAGACGGAAATTGCACATTTATTAATATAGTTCTCCGCAAGATAAGTTAAATACAGTATTAATCGTTTTTGTTTTGGGAAAAAAATGGATCATATTCGTTTCCAAGTTTCAAAATACAAAGTTCGGGAAAATTGATGAAACAGCATAGGCCCTAAGAGATACAAAGGGGGCCACCCGAAAAACAAAATATCAAGACAAATGCAAGGCCAGCCAATGCCTTCTCTATCCTCAGAAATCCTAGACGGCGAAGGAGGACTGTCATCCCCATGGCTGGATTCCAAGCACAGAGCACTAGCTAGAGGAAATGGTGGTTCCAAAACCCAACCGTTGGGTTCTATTTCCCTTGAAGAAGCAGCAGGAAATATATTCAATCAGCTACCGCTTGAATACATTATCAATCGTTAGACATAAGTAATATCACACTGATGATATAGGAGTTTAGGAAAATATGAGCGGCAAGTTTGTTTTCTCTTACTGTTGCCCAAAGTGGTACAATTTCTGCACTTGAAACCACAAAATATTTGCTGGTTTGAGCATACACTTTAAGTGGGGTTGTAGTTCTCTTCGTATGCATGAAATGTCACATGAACAAGCCAGAAGTAACAATAGACTAAAGTACTTGAATTAATATTATAGAATAAATCAAAGGATGCTTTACCAAACGCAAGATGTTTTTCACTTTTCTTTGTCTCTCACATGAGATGCGCTATGCAGTATCATGGACCTTACAGAACTCAATTGGTCATGGCTGCTAATATCATCAGACTTGCCTCCTATATAAGATGTAGCCTGCCTTACCTACTTAGGAACTAGTAATTCAATTGGCTATGGGCAGTTTCATTTAGTTTCAAAAAGATCATACCTGTCTTAGCTTGTTCCTGATAAATGAGGCTGACGGGGACTGACACAATGCATAGAAGGTTTGTAAAATGTTCTGCTGCACATCGGACCTTGTGAAACTAATTAAAGAGAAGAGTTTTAAAATATCTTCATCAGATTCTAACAACAAATCCGGTGCCTGGCCATCTGTAGAGATGGTTGAAGCCGCAAGTTGCATAATTACGGCTGTTATGTGCTCCTTTAAACTTAAGGATAGCAAGCCAGGCTGGAACAGAAGGTCAAATATAGGGCGTACTGCACCTTGTCGAATCATCTCCAGTCCATTTTTCTTTAAACTGGATAGGTTCCGTAAAGACCTAATGGCCACTGTTTTCACTAGAATATCAGCATGTGAGACCAAATGGAGAAGAGGACCCAGTACACCACCTTCAAACAAAGATGCTTTATTGAGGTTGGTCAACTCCATTTCCGCTAGAGCTGTTGCCATAATCATTTTCACGTCATCTGGTCCTACATAAATCAAGAGATGGGTTAAGGCAAAGGCTTGATTTTCAAACCAAGGATTGCATCCCCTCTTTGCCATTTTGACAAATTTTGAAGACTTTGATACACTAGGAAGCAGAGATTCACATAATTTTAAGCATCATTACTGCTTGATTTACACCTACGTAATTTAGATTTGTAAGACTTTTTAGCTGTAATTTTTAAATAAGGAAAACAATAGGAAGCTTAGTGATGTAAAATAAGAAGGGGGGAGGGAGAAAAGAGATAGAAAGATAGTAGATAAGAGAGAATTAGGAAGAAAGGAGAAACTTAGAGGAAGAAAACAATTCAATATTCAACTCAATTTATTGAAAACTAATTTGAATACAATTGAGAATATAGAGTCCTAGAAATATTAAAAATAATGATAAATCAAATCTTAACCTAATCCTAAAAGATAACAAGGATAATCTATTTTATATATCTAGATATCCTATTTATTAAAAATAAAGAAAATCTAAAATGATCATAAGAAAGATACTAATAAGAACATATAATTAAACTGTAAATAATCTAATGGATATTCAATCCTTATTCAAATAATCATAATAAAATAATCCTAAATATCTAAAATAAAACTAATTGAATCTCAGCTATATTTCATCATTTCTCCCCCACTTGAAAACTCCAATAGTGATACTGAACTTGAGACTTAAATCTTTTCTTCTTCCCATTTCACATCAATTGGTTATCAGAGCTTGGTTCTACCTCCCTTCCTTGTATCTCTTTTCTTTGAGATCCATCAGAAATATCCAACCCAAATTTTAACACTGACTTTTACACTCATAATTCTATATGGGATATTACAATAAATGCCCATGCAAGGAGTGTCGAAATTATTACAGCACCCTACCTCGACGTATTGGGCATTCGCAATATCGCAAAGGCTACCAAAGGAAAATAATCGAAGAATGATGCCAGTGCTAGTATACATATAACCTATAGTACCGCTGTGAAGCACGTTATAAGGCTGAATATGCAGGGAAGATTGCTAAGGGTGAAAGTTTTGGTGCTAAATTTGAAAGGCATTAGTTGAAGTCAAATGCCACAATGCTAAATCCAACGTTGAATTGGAACGTTAAATTCAAGAAGGTGCACGTCTAACTAAAAAAATAAAGAATGTTCTAACAGATTATAGAGTTGCTAAATAATCAAAATCTAGCTAATGAGCAGATAGATATGATACTTCAACACTAGAATCAAAAGAGTCCACTATAACTCTTGTGGAGCCTAATCATGAGAGTGGTTTGTCCACCCAAGCACCTTTACCACCATAAGCTCCGTTAGAAATTACAACAAAAGTTCCCTTACTTGCTCTACAATTGGCACCTTCCCAAGTTGTAATCAGCCAAAATCAACCTCGCTTTACTATAGGTTCACCTCATCTACAAGCTGCATCTGCCAAGAATGTTCTATCACTTAATAGGAAGCTTCAATAGTATCTTATCTTATTGAAAAGGTTTTTCAGAGATTCCAAATAATCAATGTTGTTCTCCATATCATGCAATTCATCACTACCTCACTTATTGGAAAAGATTTCCAAATCTAGGAGCCTGTGGTGGTAAAGGAGCTGGGATGGATAAACCACTCTCATAATTGGGCTTCAAAAAAGTTATAATGGACTCCTCTGATTCTAGCGTCAGAGTTTCAATGTCTATCTGCTCATTAGCCAGATTTTGGTCACTCAGTGACTTTGTAATTTATTGGAACATACTTATTTGTCAGTTAAATGTGCATCTTCTTGAATTTGACGTTCCAATTCAATGCTGGATTCAGCATTGCTGTGATTGACTTCAACTAATGCCTTTCAAATTCGGCACCAAAACTTTCACCCTTAGCAATCTTCCCAGCATATTCAGCCCTATAACGTGCTTCATAGCCACACCATTGGTCATATACATACCAATACTAGCATCGTTCTTCGATTATTTTCCTCTAGTAGCCTTCGCAATATTGCAGATGCCCAACATGTTGAAGTGGGATGATGTTATAATTTTGGCACTCCTTACAT